TTGCGCGTACACACACACACACACACACACACACACACACACCGGGACACAGCGCAGCTCTTTCCATTTTAAATGAACACATTTCGTTTTTTCCACCTGGACCCCACATCAATGGATGTGCCTGCTCTTCCCTCCACCACCTGAGCCGTCTCTAAGCGGAGGGAAGCAGGAAGGGGCAGGTAGGGAGTTGGGGGGGCGGCCCTGAGGTCCTGGTTTCCGCCCCCCAGGCTTCGACCGCTACTTCTCCAGCCGCACGCTGGACAACAACCGGCGCAACATCTGGTTTGCCGAGTTCTGGGAGGACAACTTCCACTGCAAGCTGAGTCGCCACGCGCTCAAGAAGGGCAGCCACGTCAAGAAGTGCACCAGTGAGCACGCGCGGGCGCGCCGAGGGGCGGGGCCTGGGGTGGCAGGCGTGGAGGTGAGCCCGCGCTGGGGGCGGAGCCAGGAGGCCTGTGGGCGGGTTTCGGAAGCTTGGGGGAGGGGCTACGAGGCCTAGGGGAAGGGCCTGAATGGGAAGAGGCCACAGCAGGTTTAGGATGCGACAGAGTGGCCTTGGGAGTGAGGGGTTAGGACTTTGTGCCCTCCCTGGGTCCTTGGGTCTCCACAGTGGCCTTGTCTGGCCTCTGACTGCCATGGGGTTTATCTGGATGTCCCTGGGTGAACCTGCAGAACTGAACTGAACCCCCCCTGCTCCATGGCCAGGCCTGCCACACAGCAGTCTGGGGCTTTAGGGTAACCTCATCTAACCCCTTGGGGTTCCCCCAGACTCAGCACAGGCCAGTGTGGCTCTCAGGACGTCCCTGGGCCTGTTCTAAGCATGATGGATGTATCAGTGACGGAGCGAGTCAAAAGTGGTTGCGAGTTTTTATTCTAATGGGAGGCAGACGATAAACAAGATAAGTAAATTATAGAAGATGTCAGAAGGGAAATGTGCAGTGGAAACAACAGATAAGAAAGAACCGGGAGTTGGTGAGGGGAAGAACAATCGCAGCTTTAGAGCGAGCAGGGAAGGCTCCCTGCAAAGGTGCCGTTTGCGCCCTGAAAAGGAGAGAAATGAGCCACCCCGGGGCGGTGCTCCCCCATTTCACAGAGGGGAAAGTGGAGGGTCCGAGGAGGTAAGTAAAGGGACCGAGTTCCACAGGCAGAGGACGGCTGCACAGCAGGGTGGCACGGGGGCAGCCCCAGGCCCGCCCCAGGCCCGCAGCCCTCAGGGGAGCCATGCTGGGGTGGCCACTGTAGATCCCTCAGTCATGGGTGCTCCTGTGCTCTGGACCCCGTAGCTCTCAGCGAGACCTGGCCTCCGTGACCCGAGGGGGCTCGTGGTGCCACTGTCAGCCCGGGTGGCACCTAACTGAGGGTGGTGAGTTTCCTCACACATTCTCCCCGACTAGATCAGTACAACTGGGACAAAGTGCTGGGTGGGTCGGGGAGTGCTGCATGGAATCGTTAACGGGGGTCCACCAAGGCCCTCCCAGAAGCCGGTGCACTTAGGTGGGCGGGCGGGGGCCATGCTGCCCTCTGGTGGCCAGAGTCCGCAAGGACTCAGCCACTCCCCCACCCCCGCAGGTGAGCGCCAAGCCAAGCGGCCCTGCCTGATCTGCAGTGTGTCCAGGTGGCAGTGTGTGTGTACACACAACTGTGTGACGGCGTATGGCCCGGAGCCAGTGTGCCCGAGAGAGGAGGGGGTGTGTGTCTTACGTGGGGGCTCACGCGTTCCCGGGTGGGCTGATAACCGCAAACACCACAGTTACTACACACCTACTGTGTTCCAGACGCTGTAAGACACTGCGTCATTCTTCCCGCGGTTTACCAGAGATGGTGTGTGTTCTCCAGAGAGACGGAGAGGGAGAGGGAAAAGCGTCCTCGCGGGGAATGGTCACACCGCGGTCTCTTCTCCAACTCCTTCCTTCGGGATCTTGGACATGTGAACCCGTGCCTGGGCGTTTCTCAAGCCACCAAGTCCAGGACTCGGACTGCATGGCTGCCGTAACGGCCATGCCATGCAGCCAGCCCACGGAGCATCCCCCTGCATTCTCACGACTCTAGGAATTGCTTTTTTATTTTTTCAGGTTTTTGCCATAGAGTCTGTGCACTTGCTGGAGAGAGACAGAGAGAGTGAGAGGGAAGTGAGAAATCCCCCTCCCCCAGAGGGGTTCCCATGCTGCAGTCCCTTCTCCATTCTCCTCCCGGGATTTTGGGCACATGCACGTGCACCTGGCGTGATTATCTTGCTGCCAGATCCAGGACTCGAACTGTGACCAGCAGCGTGGGAGTCTGACACCTTAGCCTTCACACCACCTGCTGGCCCTGGAATTCTTATGCTCCTCGTGGTGTAGGTGAGGTTACGGCATTCAGGGGCCAGGCCCCTCGGCCCAGGCCGGACTGCAGTCATCACAGTGCAGGCCCTGCCTCCTGGGGTCCTTCCGCTCCTCCTGGTGTAGTCATGAGAGCACCCCCTGATTCTCAGACGCGCCCGCGGGGGGTGAAGATGTCTGGGCACCCTGATGTGGGTCACTAGACCTAGCTCGGGATGGGGTGGGACAGGGGAGACCAGAAGTGAGGGCAAGATGGGGGCCTCCTGGCCCCCTCTTGTGGGCGAGGAGCTTTCTGGAATCACCTCTCTGTCTGGGAGGGCCCGGAGGGAGGCCCAGGGGGAGGGCCTGGGTCAGCCTCTGTGGGCCCTGCCCAGACTCGGGTCCTCGGACCAGGGCGGGGCCTCTCGGCAGTGAGGGAGGTGTTGGTCCTGACGCGGGGTCACAGGCCTAGAGCAGGCCTCAGGGGTGAGCAGCAACCGTGACCGTGCTGGGCCTTCGCCTCCTCGTCTGAGAAGTGGACTTGGTGAGCCCGCCCAGAGCGAGTTGCCGGGAAGCCAGGGTGCACTAAGGGAGGCACTGTGTCAACCCCGAGGTGGTGGTTCCCAAGCCAGGCTGTGTGTTCGCGGCACCTAGTGGCTTTTAGACCCACGCAGGACCCCACCCCCACAGCAACTAAGTCAATTCAGAGGTGGGACCCGGGGGCTGTACAGGTTCTTAAAGCGCCCCTGGTGTTCTTTTTTTTTTTTTAGACTTATTTTATTTTATCTAATTTTATTTATTATTATTATTATTTTTAAATTTGACCAGAGGGAGAGAGAAAGTGTGAAAGTAAGCCACTGGGTCTGGGACTTGAACTCTGGGACTTGAACTCTGGTTCGTCACGTGGGAGTCCAACACCTTAACCACCAGACCACCTGCCAACCCCTCCCCTAGAGTTTCTAAAGTGAGCTTAGGGCTGGAGCAGTGGTTCCCAAGCTCTGTTCACATTCAGTCACGTGTGGCTCTTATAAAAACATGGGGCCAGCAGGTGGCATGGTGGCTAAGGTGCTAGACTCCCACGTGGCTGACCATGGTTTGAGTCCTGGACCTGGCAGCTTGAAAGCTATTGCCAGGCACCTGTGTGTGTGTGCCCAAAATCCCAAGAGGAGAATGGAGGAAAAGGGATTGTGGCATGGTCATCCCCCTGAGGTATGCCTTCTCACTTTCCCTCTCACTGTCTCTCTTCGGAGCGCACACACCCTATAGCAAAAACCTGAAAAAGAAAACAGCCGGGTGCCAGACTCCCACCCCCAGACATCTGTCTGATTTGTACAGGGTGCCAGCCGAGCATCAGGAGTTTTTATCCCCCCAAAAAGAATTACTGATTTAATTTTATATATTATTATTATTTTTATTTATTTATTAATTTTTAATTTGAGCAGAGAGAGAGAGGGAAAGTGAGAAGGCAAGCCACCAGGTCCGGAACACAAACCGTGGTTGGCCATGTGGGAGTCCAGCACCTTAACCACCACACCACGAAACGGGACACAGTCCTAGAGGGTTGGGGAGCTGGGCTCACACTCAGGCCGCCTGGACCCTCTCCCGCCCTCTCTTCCACGCTGTGCCCTCCCTCTGCCTCATCTGCCTCCCCTCGGGTCCCCGTCTCCCCTCAGCCCGGCCAGGGTGCTCTGCCCTCTGTGACAACGCCCGTTTTCCACCTGCACCCCCAGCCTGGCTTCCCACTCACCTCCTCCGGGACCCCACCGTCGCCTCTCCTGTCCTGACCCAGGGTCCCGCCTGCTGCTGCCCCAGGTCTCTGCACACGTGCCAGTCTTGTCTTCGCTCGTGCCAGTCCTGTCTTCGCTTGTCCTTTGCTTTGCCAGACCCACCCCCACCCCCGTCAACGGGTGGACCGTGACCTTTCGAGAGAGCGGGGCACATGCTCTTCGCCCTGAGGTCTCACACGTGGGCAGATGGACGCCATCCTTCAAGGCTGTCTTGGGGGGTTACCCCGGACAAACTGAGAGCAAACTGTCCATTTGGGAAGAGAGACGGCAGTGCTGAAGGGATCGCAGGCGGGTTGCCACTGTGAACAGAGGGGACCCTTGGTCACGCCTCTGGAGTGGAGTGCCATGGGGTCACCTCTCAGCACCTCGCTGCTGCATGGCTGGGCAACGGGGCTCCTGTGGGCAGAGACAGCCTGGCGGGTGCTGGCCGGGGGAGATTGCAGTGGGGAGGGGAGGGTGGAGGGGGAATTATTCTTTCTCAACCAGGGGGACTTCAAAAAGACTGCGGAAAAATGGAATTAACATCTGAGTTTATTCTGGTGCAAAAATATTTGAAATCCAGGCATAGCTTTTTCATAATATGCTTTCTCCATGAACTTTATTTCATTTTATTTTTTTTGCTATAGAGCACATGGGCTCGCCAGAGAGAGACGGAGGAAAGCAAGAATCATGCCCCCTCCCAGGGGCTTGGTCATGCCAAGTCCCTCCTCATTCTCCTCTGAGGATTATGGACATACATGCCCATGTATTTGGCATGTTTTTCAAGCTGCCGGGTTTGGGGTTTGAACTGTACTGTTGACCATGTGGGATCCAGCTGTCTTAACCTACACCAGTGGCTGGCCCCTTCTTGAACTTTTCAAAGACCCCCGTCACACAGAATTCTGCAGGCCTCGGGGCCAGTAGATGGTGTAGTGGTTACGTGGTTGGACTCCCACGTAGCCTAACGTGGTTCGAGTCTTGGACCCGGTGGCTTGAAGCTCACGCCAGGCATTTGTGCATGAGTGCCCAAGATCCCAGGAGGAGAATGGAAAAGAAGGGATTGCAGCATGGCTATCCCCCTGGGGGGTTCTCACTTTCCCTCTCACTGTCTCTGTCTCTCTTCCCCTCCCCGTGAGTGCACACACCCTGAGGCAAAAACTTCTAAAAAGAAAAAAGAGGGACCAGCAATTAGCGTAATGGCTATGTCGCTGGACTCCCACGTAGTCGACCACGGTTCGCATCCCAGACCCGGTGGCTTAAAACTCACACCGGGCATGTGTGTGTGCGTGCCCAAGATCCCAAGAG